GTTGAAACACTGCCTCCCCTACGATCACCGAAGTTAAGCAGCGTCGAGCCTGGTTAGTACCCTAGTGTGTGGCCACTTAGGAATACCAGGTGCTGTACCACGTCTTGAAGAGGCTTGGTGCCTTGAAGAATATGCAGTGGTATACCGGTGGCAGAACAAGAACAACGAAGAATGATAAAGCCAAACGTTGCGTATAGCAACAAAAAGAGGAAGTTGGGGAGAGCCATGATCATGCACATAAAAATGGCACATAAAAGAATAAGCTGCGACATATGAATGGCGGAACAAGAGCAACTAAAGTCAAAAGTTGCATATAGCAACAAAAAGAGGAAGTTGGGGAGAGCCATGATCGCGCTCGACTAGAAGAAGCATTTCACACAAAATAATAAGCTACGACATATGGATGACAGAACAAGGAGGGCGAAAAAAAATCAAAAGAGAAGAAGTGTTGGATCAAGGGCAATGCATATGAATGACCATCTTCTTGTATATCCCTTGTACCTTCAAGGCGTTAACGATCATGGTTCTCCACAATTTCCTATCTTTGTAGCTCTTTACAACTTCACTTCGCCATCTATTCGCTCAAAATCGGCAAATAGTTTGTGTTTATTATCTCTATCTTTGTTACTTAAATCTGTCCTGTGAGTATCAGATTTTCCAATCTCTCTTTCCTAGAAATGTCTTCTGTCTCTTCCTGATGTTAAGTATAAGTGTTCTTTTTATTTACATTAACTACATTTTTAGACTGTAGTCATCATATTTATTATCATATTCTCGATGTGTTGGCCGTGGTATACTCCGGCCTTCTTCATGGTACAATGGATAAAAGCATTTTTTTCGATCTAGTGACATCACCCAAAGTGTTATGAATCAAATTCCTGACTAATGAACTGGTGCAAAAATAAATAAATAAATAAATAAATAAAATAAAATAAAATAAAATTGGGGAGATGATTTAAAGGGAGTTAACTAAGACATATGAAAGAGGCATGACATGTGGAACTAGAACAATCTACCCCGGTGGACAAAATAAACGGTTCACTTCGAAATTCCAATCACCTGAAGAAAGCTGTAACGTAAAACGATAGAAACGTCCTGAATATGACAATAAAGATGAGGACAACAGTCCGAACAATGTAAATAATGTAAATAATTACAATGCCTGATCTCATAAATATAGGCAGATATTAAAGTGTCCTTTTTGTTTCTGTTTTCTTTAAAACGTTTCCATTGTTCAAACGATCGGACCATGGTGTTCTCAGAATCAGACTGTGGGACCACAATCCGTTGCTTTAAGCACATTTTCCTTCTGTGACCAGATTGTCTAGCATTCACTGCCATAGATAAAAACTGACATTACGTATCAGTTCAGAACACTTTTCTTGATTCTGTTGCTTCAAGCCACATTTGTGACACGATTGCACAACATTCTCTGCCATAGAGGAGGACTGATATTACGTAACATTTCAGTATTCTTTTCTTTTTTATCTAACGATACCTTTCTATTAGTAAATACTCTGCTCAGCTTAGATATTTTTATTGTTTCAAATTTCCAGCAGAATAGTGTTTGTCCACCTTGGAAACCAGCATTCAGTGATCTAATTTTTATATTACAAATTTAATTTACAAACATTACCATCTTCAGCCATTCGCTATTTTCCGAAGCAGGCTTTTACTTAGTATTACTTCGTCTGGTACACGTCATTGCGACCTCTAGTGAGAACTCGCAAAACTAACAAAGTTTTCTATAAAGTAATATACTAAAAAAATTCTGTCTAATGTTGAACCTCTTATTTTTATTTAATATTTTCAATCTTTCATGTGGTTTTGATGAGTCATTCTTTTGAATATTCTTCGTTCATTTATTTTTTTGTTTTTCTGATTTGCTCGTCTTTTCTTTGGAATTTTACTTCACTTTTCCTTCTTAACTTTTCTTCTTTATTTTGTTTTACATTTTTTAGTATATCTGTTTTTGCACTAATTTCTTTCTTTTTCTTTCAATTTTTTTTTATTTATCTTACTTTTATATTTATATATATTATTATTATATATATTATATTTTAGATCATTTATTTTTCTGTTCATATCGTTCTATTCTATTTTCTCTTTCTTATTTTCTTTTTCTTTTAATTCTTTTTTACTTTGTGTTTTCCGTCTTTGCTTCTTTCTTCGTTTCTTTCTCTTTTTTTTGCCTTGTTCAGCAACTTTTTGTCGTTTTTTCTTTCTTTCTTTCTGCCTTTCGTTCTTGTTTTTTTCATCCTTTTTTTCATTATCTCTTTATTTCTTTCATTCATTTTTTCTGTCACTATTCTTCTTTGTTTCATTTTCTGCGTTCCTTCCGTCTCTTTCTTTCTCCTTTCACACGTTTCTTTCTTTAGTTTCTTCTTTCTTCTTTCGTTCTTTCTTTCTTCTTTTGTTTGCTATCTTTTTTTTTGTTCTTTAGTTCTTTATTCGCTTCCTTATGTCCGCATAATTCGTCACTTCTTTTATTACGTCCCTTCCTTTCTTCGCTTCCTTTGGCATGTATCTTTCCCCTTTTCTTTCTTTCTTTCTTTCTTTCTTTCTTTCTGCACTTCTCCTTCATCTTCTACTTCTTCACTTTCATTTATCCATTTCTTTTGTTGCTTCCTTTCTTTCTTTCTTTTTTTTTCTTTCTTTCTTTTTGCGCGTCTTGTTCATCTTTGAATTCTTCACATTCATTTATCCATTCTTTCGTTGCTTGCTTCCTTCCGCACTTTTCTTTTTCCTTTCTTTCTTCCTTCCTTCCTTCCTTCCTTCCTTCCTTCCTTTCTTTCTTTATTTCTTTCTTTCTTCACTTCCATTTGTCCGTTCTTTTCGTCACTTCCTTTCGCAGGTGTCTTTCTTTCGTTCTTTCTTTCTTTCTTTCTTTCTTTTTGCACATCTTCATCTTTTACTTTGTCACTTTCATTTATCCATTCCTTTAATTGCTTCCGTCCGCACATTTCTTTTTTCTTTCGTTTTTCTTTCGTTTCTCCTTTTCTTTTTTTTTCTTTTTTTCTTTCCTTCTTTCTTTCTTTCTTTCTTTCTTTCTTTCTTTTGTTTTATTCGTTTCATCTCTTTTTCTTTCTTTTCTTATTTTCACACGTTTCCTTCATTCTTTATTTCGTAACTTTCATTTATGTGTCATTCGTCGCATCCTTTCGCACGCTTCTTTCTTTCTTTCTTTCTTTCTTTCTTTTTGTCTCTTTCTTTTTTTTTCTTTCTTTCTTTCTTTCTTTCTTTCTTTCTTTCTTTCTTTCTTTCTTTCTTTAGTTTTCGAGTACACCAATCCACCCTGGCTTTTCTCTATCGCCAAAACGAGAGTATGGTATTAAACGAATGATAATGATTCTTGCCTTTGAGTGGGCCAACTGCATATTTCGTTGCTTTTGATCTGTTCTCAGAGCCAACGAGTTTGACCCCCAGTTGTCCACGGGCCTCAGCTGAGGTGTAAATCAGATAAACACGGAAAATATCAGCGATATCGTTCGGTCCACCACTAAGGCCCCCGAGCTTTCATCAACCGATCACAACCCGAAACGCTTTTACCAAGATTTCGCCTTTTATCGCACTCAGAACGTTTCTAGAACCCAATGGAACGCACACACGCAACTACACAACCTCTGTCTCACACAAAGCAAATATATACACAAGATAATACAGCCTCTCTCTCTCTCTCTCTCTCTCTCTCTCTCTCTATATATATATATATATATATATATATATATATATAATTATATATCCATATATACAAATATTTCTCTCTCTTTATATATATATATATATATATATATATATATATATATTCATGAATTATTCACACAAAAACAAATGCATGGGTTAATGATTTAATTGGCGAGAAATCCATCGTCGAAAACAATTCAAATATTATACAAAAACCTCCGAATCCGTTATGAATGAAAAGATCCTTGTTTCTATAATTTTCTGCCGCATTAGTTCTTATTTTTACAACAAGCTTTCGTCTGTTCCTACAGACATCTTCAGGTATGGAATAGATGTTGTTCTTGTTTTTTCTCTCAGTAATAAGAGGACAACGAAAATATATGTATTGTTGTATCCGAAAATGCTATTGGAAATGAGTTATTGTTTTTGGAGCGTGCAGTAGCAACGCTGAGTTTGATTTTAAATTTTAAATTTTTTACAGTTGTGCGTTCATGTACAAATATGGTGATGAACGAATTTTTACTGGTAAATTTTTCTGTCAAAGTGGCATGAACTATATTGTTCAATAATTACAGTAATGTCGCACTTATTATCCAAAAGTCGCACTTGGCTCCAGTTATTTTAATTTCGATAAACGTGCAATCAATTTACAAATTCATGAATTATTCACACAAAAACAAATGCAAAGGTTAATGATTTAACTGGCGAGAAATCCATCGTCGCAAACAATTCAAATAATAGACAAAAACCTCCGAACCCGTTATGAATGAAAAGATCCTTGTTTCTATAAATTTATATGAAAATTTCTCAGAGTTAACCCGTAGAAAAGACAATATTTATAAATATAAATGACAACAGAAAAACTGTAGCAGTTGCCGACGCGTTTCGCCCAATGTGGACTCTCTCAATGCAAAAAACGAAATGAATTTATTAAAGGAAATAACTATTAATAACATAACAAAATGTCCTTAGGAACTGGAAGAATTTAGAGAAGGCTATTTTCATACTGTTAACTGAAAATTACGTCAATTGCTGTCACGTGTGGAGTTATTGTTATTATTGCTGTGTTGACAGATTCGGATTCAACCATTTTCTTTTGATTTTACGATATTGTTATGTACATTTGTTTGGGAGAGTAGTAATTCTGTTAACAAACTTAAACAACAATATCGTGAAGTCAAAAGAAAATGGATTGAATTCCTGAAATTCATGCGCTTCAGCGGCAGATTTCTTTTGAATAAAGTGCAGTAAAATTCCCCGTAAATAGACATTGTTTGGCACGAAATTATATGTACTGAATTTCAAAGCTTTCTTATAGTACGTCCTTACAGATGTGTTATCATCTGAAATTACATGCACGCAGTTCTGGGAACGCCATTTTTTGGAATACAGCGATTACTTTTTCAAGGTCTT